ACTGGCTTATTTCGCTTAGCATGATGCTTTTAAAGTAAATTTTGTTGGATGTGAGTATTGCTACTCCAGCTTTTTTTTTCTTTTCCATTTGCATGGAAAATTTTTTTCCCAACCCTTCACTTTCATCCTGTGTGTGTCTTTTGTTTTGAGGTGCGTCTCTTGTAGACAGCATATAGTTGGGTCATGTTTTTGTATCCATTCAGCTACTCTACACCTTTTGATTGGAGCATTTAATCTATTTACATTTAGGGTTATTATTGAGAGGTACTTATTTATAGCCATTTCAATTCTGTATGGCTAGGTTTCTCTCTCCTTTTCTTCTTCTCAACAATCCCTTACAGCAATCCCTTTAGCATTTCTTATAATGCTGGCTTGGTGGTGATGAACTCCTTTAGCCTTTTTATTTTTTGGTCTGGGAAGCTCTTTATTTGACCATATATTTTGAATGATAGCCTTGAGGATATAGTAATCTTGGTCTCAGATCCTTGCTTTCCATTACCTTGAGTACTGCAAGCCATTCCTCTGCCCATTTTTAAATTGGATTGTTTGTCTTCGTTTTGTTGAGTTGTATGAGTACTTATATTCTGGATATTAACCCCTTATCAGATGTATCATTGCCAAATATGTTCTCCCATTCAGTGGGTTTCCTTTTCATTTTGATGGTGGTTTCTGTTGCTGCGCAGAAGCTTTTTATTTTGATGTATCCCATTTTTTAATTTTCTCCTTAGTTTCCTTTGCCCTAGGAGCTATATCCATAAACATATTGCTACATGAGATGTCTGAGATTTTACTGCCAATGTTCTCCTCTAAGATTTTTATAGTTTCATGCCTTACATTTAAGTCTTTTATCCACTTTGAGTTTATTCTTGTGTCTGGTGTAAGTTGGTGGTCTAGTTTTATTTTTTTGCATATATTTATCCAGTTTTCCCAGCACCATTTGTCGAAGAGACTGTCTTTACCCCATTGTATGTTCTTGCCTCCTTTGTCAAATATTAATTGGCCACAATGGTGTGGTTCAATTTCTGGGGTCTGTGTTCTGATCCATTGGTCTATATGCCTGTTCTTGTGCCAGTACCAGCTGTTTGGGTTATAATGGCTTTGTAGTATAGTTTGATATCCGGTATTGTGATCTCTCCTACTTCGTTCTTCTTTCTCAAGATTGCTGCAGTTATTTGGGGTCTTTTATGGTTCCATATACATTTTTGGAGTATGTGTTCTAGCTCTGTGAAGTATGCCATTTGTATTTTAATAGGGATTGCTTTGAATCTGTAGAT